GGGTTTATTGAGTAGACAAATGTATAGCCTCTTGCAACATGGAATTCTTTTGTCAGTATCCAGGCAATTAATTAATTGATTTCTATATACTTGCTATATTTGTCATGTCTTAGGAATGGTAGTTCTTGTTAATAGAAGATTCAAAAAGGAGTGATCATTGACAAATTTCAAGCCTATTACTGGAGGAATCTTTTTTCTACACTTTCATGGGCTTTCTCACACTCCTGCTGGGCCCACCTTACATGTCTGAGTGGAGAACCTTTGCATCAACAGTCAGGTCCCAGGCCTTTAGGGACATTTAAGCAGCATGGTAGGACTAAGGCAGCTTTTTGATAGTTTTTCTATGAACCAAAAACATTTGAAAAAAAACCTTAAACTCCTTGCCATGTTTTCTACATTTATTGACTTTTCTTTCTCTAAAACACATGTTTTTGGGAACACTTTTTCTGTAAATTGATCACTTAAAGAAGTGAATGAAGCCACCTATAATCTTATACTTTGCCTATCTGCTTTTCCTTTGTATGCCTCAGCTTATATATTTTTTTAATATTTTATTTTATATAATTCTTACATCATTTTTCATTTTTGCACAATGTATGCATTTTCATTTTGATTATATTCCCCATACAATTGCACCCCCGCTTATTTTGACCCTAATCCTTCCTCTCCCCACCCCCCCCCCCTCCGGCTCCCTAGTGTGTCTCTGGTTTATAGTTGCTTGTTAATTTTGATTTTTACTTTGTTATTAATTAGTCTTTTTCCTGGTCCCTTATTTAGGTTTTCTAAATTCCTGCTATGAGTGAGACCATCCGGTATTTTTCTTTTTCTTTCTGGCTTATTTCGTTGAGCATTATCACTTCCAGCTCCATCCATGTTGCTACAAATGTCATGAGTTTATCTTTTTTGATTGCTGAGTAATATTCCATGGTGTATATGGACCACATCTTCTTGATCCAGTCATCTATTTTTGGGCATTTGGGTTGTTTCCATAGCTTAGCTATTGTAAATAGTGCTGCTATAAACACAGGGGTGCAGGTGCCCTTTGGAATTAATGTTTCTGTGTCCTTTGGGTAAATACCTAGGAGTGCAATTGCTGGATCATATGGAAGCTCTATCTTTAGTAAGTCAAGAAATCTCCACACAGCTCTACATAGTGGTTGGACCAGTTTGCACTCCCAGCAGCAGTGCAGGAGAGTTCTTTTTTCTCCACAACCTCGCCAACATTTGTTGTTGCTAGTTTTTTAATATGCTTTTTCTGAATAAATTAGAACTTGGTGTTAAGGAAGTGAGGAGAGCAACTTACTCATTTACCTGGAAGTTTAGTATTGCCTAATGAGAAACAAACGACCTTTGAACAAAAATTCTTCACCTGAAACTGGAATATCAGATTTTGGGCTCATCATCCATTTTATATTGCTCAAAGTAATGTAATAACAAAATGCTTTGTTTTTACTTTTCTGCAACTACTCAAGTCATTTCCTTTTACAGAATGTAAGTCTTTATAGATAGTGGGACTATAATTTTATTTTATTCTTATGGACTATGCCTTACGAAACTATTAGTGAACTGTTATCTTAGACATTGCTAGCTGCAAATGATTCCCAAAAGATTTCATTTCCAAAATGAATTCTAAGTGATGAGAAACTATTTTTTAAGAACATAACACTTTCAAATTAGCTAAATAAATGTTCAAATTATAAAATTCACTAAATTTTACTACAAACTGTAGCACATTGGATGCTTCATCAATAGAGGTTTTTGTGTGGAAAAGTGACGTAATTCCAGGCTTCCCTCCAAAGGAAAGAACGTACTTAAGAAAACATCTTTAGAGAAAGTGTTTCAGTACGATATTCCTCATTATAGCCGCGAAGGCATAGGAAACAAATGAATTATTGATCATGTGATGGTCTTATATAATGACTTTATTTCTATGAGCTTTTTGATGTCATTTTTACCTGAGAAATGTTAGTGAAGCAGCTTGACGGGCTCTAACTTTGCTTATTCATTAACAGTAGTTTTGTGTGTAGTTGACTTGCAGGAGGCTGATTAGTTGAAATGGAAGGGAGAAAAGTGAGTCAAATTATGGTATTGTGTGATTTTATAGCATTTGTGTGTGATTTTATAGCATTTAAATTTCTTTTAAATAGCTTTTAGTTGATTGATATTTAAGTAATGTCATGGAAAACATTAATTCTAGCAAATGTATTTTTAAGTATATCAGTTTCTCATGAGAAAAATGGTATAAAATTAAATAAGACTGACACAATTTTAATAATTTTATAAAAATTTATTTCCATTCTTAGAATTTGTATTGGTATAATTTGTTAAGTTGTTTAAGTTATAATAATACTTTTTAAATAAAATTAATTGAAGAGTGGACTGAATCTGATGTGCTAACCTTCTAATTAAGACCAAGTTTTCACTTCTAAAGTAATAAATTAAGTTGCAGTTTCTAAAATTATCTCCAGGTTTAGTTAAAGTTTATATTCAGGCATTGTGTTAATTTCAAGTTAATATTTAAGACTAGTCGTCATTCATACATTTTTAAGAAAACTGTGTCTTCGAAAAGTAAATTACTTCAGAGCCAGATGATGCTACAGAGTCTTCTTTTTAGACTAAGGTTCCTTGTTGTTTAGCTGGCGTACAGTGAATTTTTTTAGAGATGTAATATTATAGACAGAGATAATAGGTTTCTCAGACTACTTTTCATCCAAAGAAGTAGTGTTAAAGGAAAAGAATAAAGCAGTCATTGCAATAAAAGGAAAACAAAAAGGCAATGATTAACATATAGGTAATAAAGAAAACAACCACTTCTTAGCGTAATCAGAATTGCAGTCCTTGTTTTGGCCTTAATGCTAATTCCTATGTAACACTCACTTCTCTTAATCTAATACAGTTCTGAGACCTGAATAATATACAGAACCCTTTTAAGGGCTATAATAAGAAATCTGGTGGCCCTCCAGAGTAAGTTTCAAATTTATTTTTTTAAAATATGTGTTCATATAGACTTTTTGTTTATACATTCAGAGCCTCAAAGGTGATGGATCTGGACTGTACACCCACATTCACTGAAAGACAAGGTCAGATACTTAGTTGCTCACTGTATTTTTTCTGACTACCATGGTGTATTGGCATTTTGGGTTCAACTCACTTGATGCTCTGTATCTTGTGTTGATTCAGCTTTCCTACCCCTTTTTCTACTCAAAACAATAGAATGCCTGTTAGTCATTTGGCTTTACATAGAGGTATGTTAAATCTATTTCACGCATAATACCTCTGCCTACTACAAAATCAATTGTAAAAATGCAGGGTGGATACTGGAGCTATGCAATTGTTCTTCCTGATAGTTGGGCAAGCATTCTGGGTCTTTCTTTATATTCTTTATATTCTGGGTCAAGCATTTCTTTATATTCTGGGTCTGGAAACAGATTACTAGAGTCAGAGTCCAATTTCCATCACTTTTTAGATAAAGTACCCTTATATCTGCCTCTCTGTATTTCATCTACCTACTCATAGTGTTATTGTGTGCACTATGTTATTGTGCGCCCTATAAAACACTTAGAAATGGGCCTGTCACATAGTAGGTACTCAAGTGCTAGCAGCCATATGCAACATAACACTGATGTAAGTGGTAAGTACAATTGAATCACAGTATGTATATTTATTTTCAGATTGTCATTTAAATGAGAAGATGTAATTGAGAGTTGTTAGAGGGAATTTGCAAGTACTCAAAATTAGAGACTGTAAACACTAGACATCAGCAAACTATGCCCTGCCATCACTTGATTTTATAAATATAATTTATTGGAATACAGCCGTATCTATTCATGTATGTGCTGCCTATGACTATTTTCCCCTTAGACTGTTGAAAGATGAGCCATGTAGCAGAGACCTGATGGCCTGCAAGGCCAAAAATATTTACTGTTTGGCCTTTTACAGAAATGTAAATGCCTACCCCTCCCACAGCAACAAACTATGTTAACTCTCCCAGTTGAAATTTTGATCCTTAGGTGCTACTCAAAATCAGTTTGAGAAAAAAATTTTCATGATCTTCCTAAGAAGGGTGCATTTGAATTATCTGTAATGTTTACAAAATAAATTTCTATATCTGGGTGCTCTGTCATAACCAATGGACTTAAGGGGTTGGGTGTGGACAGGTTCTGTAGAATTTATAAAAATTTCTAAAGAATATTGATGTTTACTCTTGCTGACCAGTGATTAATTTTCTCCCTGGTAATAAATTGAGTTCAGTGGTTGGTGGGTGGGTGGTATTTTATTAAAAAAGCCACAGGACTACTTCAGAATAAATGATAAGAAACACAATTACCCAGTTTATTTAGACCAGTAAGCCTCCAGTTTATATATGAACAAAATTTCTGTTTCATTGGGTTATAGGATTAGTGTGGCCTGAATAGGTGCCTAGTGTTTGGTTAGACTTTTTTTCCCACATATACTACAACTCTTAAAAGTACCTGTCTCTCTTTCTCTCTACCTTGTGTGTCTTGGTAGTAATTGAGTAGAGTTTGTGGTGAATAAGGAATGGGATATTTCCTTCTCTTGGAAATGAGAGTGTGTGTGTGTGTGTGTGTGTGTGTGTGTGTGTGTAAGGAGCATGGCGTTAATGAGAAATTTCTTCCTATTTTGTGCTCTAGGAAAAAGACAGGAGTGGAACAAAGAACAGTGATTCAAGTAGAAATAACTTTTCCATAATTACATAGGAAAAATATAAAAATACTGGGACCTTTCATTGCTGATATTATGCTTACTATAAATAATTCCTGTGTTTAATAAAAGAACTTATACAAGATAAAAGGGTTTAGAAGTGAATCAGAATATTTGAAATTGTTATATCCTGGATAGGGAATTAAATAGCTTTTAAATATTTCTTTATAATAACTTAATTTTAGTCAGATTTAGAGTGATTTGTCTGCTGCAATAAAGTAGGTCAATATAGTTAATACTATTTCTTTAATTTTTTTTTCTTTCTTTTAAAAATGTAGGCATTTCAGTCGAACCATGGAAGAACTGGTCCATGATCTTGTCTCTGCATTGGAGGAGAGCTCAGAGCAAGCTCGAGGTGGATTTGCTGAAACAGGAGACCATTCTCGAAGTTTATCTTGTCCTCTGAAACGCCAGGCGAGGAAAAGGAGAGGGCGAAAACGGAGATCCTTTAATGTTCATCACCCATGGGAGACTGGGCACTGCTTAAGTGAAGGCTCTGATTCTAGTTTAGAAGAACCAAGCAAAGAATATAGAGAGAATCATAATAATAACAAAAAAGATCATAGTGACTCTGATGACCAGATGTTAGTGGCAAAACGCAGGCCATCATCAAACTTAAATAATAACGTTCGAGGGAAAAGACCTCTGTGGTATGAGTCTGATTTTGCTGTGGACAACCTGGGGAATAGGACACTGCGGAGGAGGAGAAAGGTCAAACGAATGGCAGTAGACATCCCCCAGGACGTCGCTACTAAGCGGACCATGACCCAGCCCCTTGAAGGCTGTAGAGACCAGGACATGGACAGTGATAGAGCTTGCCAATACCAAGAGTTTACCAAAAACAAAGTCAAAAAAAGGAAATTGAAAATAATTAGACAAGGACCAAAAATCCAAGATGAAGGCATAGTTTTGGAAAGTGAAGAAATTAGCCAGACCAATAAGGACAAAATGGAATACGAAGAGCAAAAAGTCTCAGATGAACTCATGAGTGAAAGGTGACTTTTATATTCTCTTATTCTAAAAATATGTCCCGAGTGTTTGTGGTTGACTGTGTTTTGTATTTTAATTAATTCTATTTTAAAATAATTATAAATTACAATAATGGTAGTGATGTGACTGTTTAACCATGGTTATCTTTCCTTATAATTTATGATGTTTAGCACAAAGCAAAATTGCTTATTTGATTTATACAGTCTTTTGATTGTATTATAATGACTTAATTTTCAGCTACAAAGAGAAAAGGAAATGGATTTTCAATGGAAAGAATGTGCTTTTGAATAACAGCACATTTGTAACTCTTAGAATTGGATTTATAATTATTTATTTGTTTAATTATAGAGCTGTAGTCTTTGGTATTATATTGGTGTTGCAACTCATCAGTTTGTCCTGATTCCTGAGAATCAAAAGTTGATACCACTTCACAGTGTGTGCTGTGGCATTTTAAGAAGTCTGTAGACCGCTAGGAATTCTGGTCCCGTATGAATTGTGAAACCTAGTTTACAGTCTGCAAACACCTGATATCTGCTTTAGGCAAATGGGAAAGTAATTATCCTTTGTCCCATAGTCTAATCTGTCCATTCTAGAAAACACGTTTATCACAATGATAATTTTCACTGTTTTGACTTGTACTATTTTGATAATTGTGTTATTTTGACAGCATCAAAAGGTAAGTAATCATTTTTCTTGTACATGGAACTAATGCTCTTGCAGGGAATGATAAAGTGTTGATGCGTCCTTAAAACCAAAGGCAGATCTATTATCTAGAAAAAAACACTTAGGGAGTGTTTTTGCTTTAGGAAAGAGTATTTGATTTTAAGATTGGCATCATTTTAATTATGTGAATTAGAAGCTATGGATCTGTGTGTGTGAGTCTGTGTGTGTGTGTGTGTGTGTGTGTGTTTATTTTCCTTATAAATACTGATTATAGATATGAGTAGGTCCTGGTAAAAATTTATAGAATGAACATCTTAGTAGAAATTGTTTACTATTAATGTCATTTTTTCCCTAAAGAAGTAAAAATTACTTAAAGCAATGTTTCATGAAGGCTTTGAAAAGTTTATGGTATCAGTTTTTCTTCCAAGAAAGTTGTAGGTTTTTTGTTTGTTTGTTTGTTTTTGTTTTTTTGGCCTGATTGATACTTACTTATATGCTAGTATTGGGCTGTTGTGACTGAGGACCACTCAGCTTGACTTGAAAGCAATTATCTTGCTCAATTGCTGGGAGGGAGGGTGTGTGGCAGTGGAGATAAGTACTCAATTCTGGATTATTCACAGATTACCTGCTTTCTGGATTGATTGTGCAAGCCCCTCCTTTTATTGATGTGTGCCTTTTATTGATTGACATCCACCCTAGAATGGAAATGAGATGAAACTCTTTATTTCTCCTCATTGTAGAAAATACACATCTGAGTCAAATGCTATGTTATTAACCAATGTTACCTCAATTAAAAAAAAAATAAAAAAAAATATTTGAGTTTCTTATTGCTGTGATCAGGCTATCCAGCAGTCCACAGCCCAGGTACAAAATTTCAGAGAATGATTTCATTCTTGAATGAATTTTAAAAATGTGTTTTCTCTTGTTTTGAACTTACCTATGAAACTACCTTACACAGTCACTTAAAAATTAGGTGTGTGTTTCTTCTTGTGTGAAGATAGCTAAGTACTTAAAGTAGTTTCTTCAGAAGTGTGATTGTTGAGACTACTTCTAAAGCTACTTCTATAGTTCCTACTATATAAAGCTCTATATTTCCTTGCAACTGATTTACAAACAAGAACTGAACTGTTTCACTGTGTGTGTTTATGCGTGTGAGACTTAACACACTTTTGAATAACTGTTGTTTACTATTCATTGATGACCCCCAGACTAGTAAGACATAACCTGACCTCTTCAATCTCATAGTCTGGAATAGTCAGACACGCAAATAATGAAAATAAAATGTGCTAAGTGAAGGTACTAGTGAGGGAAGACTCCCTAAAGGAGCTATGATTGAAAGCAAGTGCTGAATCTTGGAGGAGTAAAGAGGGAGGGAATGGCATTGCCAGGTAAAGGGAACAGCTTGTGCACTGGCATGGATGGTGAAGCAGTGTGAGGTCTTTGGGGAAGTATGTGTTATTCATTATCACTAGAATATAAAGTAGGAGTTGAAACTCTAGTGATGACAAATCTGGAAGGCTTTTGTGCTCTGGTAAAGTGTGAATTTCCTTATATAAGTAACAGGAAGCCAGTGAATAATTTTTTAATTATTGAGAACAGTAATCTTGAGAACAGTGGCTTTTTAGCTTTGACCTTTGGTCCATCCTTCAGTGGGCGATGAGTTGTGACAATGATATATCTTAAGAAGTTAGAGAGAGAGAGGAGAGGAAATGGAGATGTTACTTGTAGAAAGAATATAAGCAAAAAGACCAGTCAATGGGTAGAATTTATGTGGGGGCCCAGCCCTAGAAAACCTTGAAATCCAAATCGAATCCACCAAATATGGCAGTGGTATGGGATGGAATGGTATATAATTGTAAACTTTTTACAATAGTTTTAAATTTACAGAAAAGTTACAAAGATAGTACAGTAGTTTCTGTATATTCTTTTTGCTTATAACCCACACCTAGTTTCTCCTGCTGTTGCTATTATATATTACGTCTTATGTTTGTCAAAATTAATGAACCAGTGTTGATACATTATGAACTAAAGCCAATACTTTATTTAGCACATTAACATTTATTTTAATTTAACACATTATTTACCAAAGTCAATACTTTGTTTTTATTTAACATGCTCTTTCTGTCCCAGGATCTCATCCAAAGTATATATTTTAGTCCTAAATTGTATTTTGAAAAGGTGACACTGGCCATATGTGAAATGGATGAGAGGGGGTTAATCTGAACATAGATCAGAAGACCACAGTACCAAAAAGAAAAAGGCACATAGCTTCACTTATCTGCAATTTCCTTCCTCTGCAAAGCTGAACTTTGAAAGCTGTAAAACAGGATTTCAATTGTGGCCAGATGTAACTTGACCTGTATTTAATGTGAATATTCATTCTTTTAATTAAAAAAAAAATAAGTTTCATTGTGGAATGCCACCCTAGACCCCTCTTTAGGCATTATAGAATGTACTTTCATGAAGTTTGAAAAATCGTGAATTTTAAATACATTTGGCTTCAAGGGTTTCCGAAAAAGAATTGTGACCTGGGATATGTATGATGAGGCTCTTATTAGAGCTGCCTAATAAGGCAGGAAAGCACGGCTCAGTCACAGAGGAAAAGAGTCATAGTAGTTTGACAACCAAATAGCAGAAAGATCAAGTTTCTGAAGTATTTTTAATACTCCAGCATCACTGTGCATAGAAGAGCATGTGTGTTCATAGAGAGCAATGATGTGCTATGTTTATAGAGTAATATTTCCTTTCTCTAGCAATGGTATAATTTAGGGATATTCACACAGTCTCTCAGTTTGAAGAAAGTTACGGAAAAAGGTATTCATGCAGACTTCCTAGGGAAAATGTGCCTTTTGAATTCTTACACTTTTTGTTAACATTTTTAAAAATTTAAACAAAAGTGAATGATATTCTATATTCAGAAATGTATGTGGATTTAGATCTCAATTTAAATATTTTAAAACAAATGACAGATTAGAATTATTTTTTTTAATAAGCCAGGTTACAGAGTTCTGCATGTTAATGGGAAACATATTATAAGTTATTTTAAAAAGAAATCACCAGAGGTGATTTGCTGATAGTTGATAAAATTAAGAATTATAGAAAAAGAGAACGTGGGAATTTTAAAGAATATCACTCAATTTTGTTTAGAGGCCACACATCACTTATTATTTGACCTTGTTCTCATATTTTACTAACTAGATCATTAAGTATTGCTTCTATTAGAAAGAATATACTAGTTTGTTCATGTCAGTCGAATTACCTATTATTTATTTTAACTTGTATGTTAAATATGACTGATCATACTCTTGTGTTTTGTGGAAATAATGAGGACTTGTCTTTTGTATCCCCGCTCCTTAATTTAAGAACTATTCTTTATTTTTAAGCTCAAAGGAACCTTAACTTTGATTTAATGGATTGTAAACTTTTTTCTACCTTGCCAAGTAATAAAAATGTTGTGAATGCTTAAATAATGTCTTTTCCAGAATATTTGCAAATGTGGTTATGAAAAGTAATTTCATCCCAGGCCCTTGCATTTCATGTGCTGAAGAAAGGCTTAGCCTGCCTTTGATGGAGACTTCTCCCATTTTATTGAGCAGTGGTGTCCAGGCTCAGACTGAATTGCGTGGCATAAGAAAGGAGCAGTGAGCATTTGATGAAAGCCGATAATAAAATGCATCAATTGTGTCAGCACCTCGTTGCAGTCACATCTGGCTTACTGTCAGGGTCCCATTAGATTCCTGTGGTTTTATGTGCCAAAAATAATATGCTCTGTAGTTAATGGAACTGGGATATTTGCAGTTTGATTAGAAAAAATCATCTTTTCTTTCAGATCTTTGTCAGGCTTAAGTTCCATCTCTGAGCTGCCATGTCTCTTTAAAATTTTACGACTGAGAGATCAATTGTTCTTTTGATCTGTTTTTTTTTTTCCCCCCTTATTACAGTGATTCCAGCAGTCTCAGCAGCACTGATGCTGGTTTGTTTACCAATGATGAGGGAAGACAAGGTACTGAGATGCAATTTGTTTCTCTCTTTGGGAAAAAGTAGTTTATTTTCTATGTAGAAATATGTATGTTTATTTATGTAGTCCTCAGCAACTCCATGAAGTAAACCTCGTTCTTTTTTCTCCCCCATCCCCTTTCCTTACTACCCCCTTGACCCTTTCTCCCTCCCCAACCCCTCTAATCTCAGAAAACTCCCTTTAGGTATCAGTGCCTTCTAAAAATGTCTTCTTTTAAAGTTGCGCTTATTCCTAGTTATTTCATAAGTTGATGAATGTGATCTGTTTACTTCACACATACTACTGGTGGACTGGGCTTTGGTTCTTGTATATGTTCTGAAATGTATCCTGTCTTCAGGACCTAAAGTAACTATCTCCAAAAGCTACTCTGTATAGCTAAATAATAGTAAGAAAGGATTATCTTCTTTGAGAAAGCTTTGCATACCTGTCTTTATAATTTTGTTTTTTAGCATGTTAGCAAGACATTGTTCTACTTAAATTTGATTCCAAATTTATTTATACTATTTAAACATTAGAAGTAGATTTTTAAGTCTTCGTATTAAGACTTTTATTTATTCTACCTTTTAAGTAACTAGTCAATTTTCATGAATTGAATGTTATAAACTTGAACAGTAATGTCTTACAACTTAGGTTGTTTCTATTTTGAGATTTCCTGAAGGTTTTCATACTTTAACATGGCAGTATTTTGAAATTATCTGTTCTGGAAGAAAATATGAAAATGTTAATAAGGGGGGGAGGGGACATATATGCAAATATCAACAGTGTTATCTTCTTGAAACTCTTTAGAAGAGGGAAGTGAGTTCCAAGGGAAAATATGAAAGGTTTGTTTTAATTGTGAATAATTTTAATGATGTTAAGAAACAAAGGACAAAGTAATAGCTGCCATACCTATTCATCCTCTTGGCAATTGAGTAAAATAAATTAAATGACCATTCTTTATGGCTTACTTATAAACTATTTGTCTCAGATAGATACATAATTACTTTAAGGACCACGGACTTTAAGAGACTTTACTAAAGCAGGTTAGAGCATTGGAGCTGAGAGTAATCTTGATGATAGACCTAAATTCTCCTTAAAATAGAGGTTTACCCAGAGTTCTATTATAAAATGTTAAATTTGGTCATGAAGTGAAATGAAAAACTTTAAAAAAATAACTTTTTCATAAGCCTATCAATATTCAGAAAACATTGAGGTTTAGATGAATATGCTAATATGTAAGTGAGCTTATTCCCATTGCTAATGGGAAATTGCTAAGTCCTTTTTTTACATTTAATTTACTTTAGCATCTTTAGTTCTTAACAGTATTCTATGATATTCCCATTTGTTTTCTTTTTTTTAGATGAATTTCTTTTTGTTAGATGGAGAAGGCTGGGACAATAGAGTTGAAGGAACTTCCCCAGTGTTATGAAACCTCAGAATTCGAATTGATCTTTCTGACTTTAGGTCCCAAGTTCTTAATATTTAGCTATTTGATTTCCCTGTTAGGAATAAAAATTGAGTATCACATCAACAGTAAAATAGCTTTATTTTATTTTATTTTTTTTAAAGATTTATTTTATTTATATAATACTGGGGTACAGGCCAGATGCGCGGGAGGGTGAGAGGATTCACCAGAGACAGAGCGGGGAGCAAAACAGGCAGAATGACAAAATACACTGTTAAGGGGAGCAGTGGGAGAGACAGGAGAGGTCTGCTCACCATGTGGGTTGCTCTGAAGCCCGCAGGGATCAAAACGGCACTGCAGAGGCTGCGGACAACTTCACAGTGCTGCGCACAACCACCTGCACCACCAGGGAGGACCACTAGCTTCATTTTAATGTGTCAAATGGAATTATACTCTAGGGTAGTCAGTTTCTAGCAACCCCTGTGTTTTCTTGTGCTTATAGCAGACTTATGAAATTGGAATGTCATGCTCAGTGAAAATACTGATATTTATGTGCTTTTGTGTTTTTTTCTAATTAATCTTTATTAAATTCTAAGTTGAAATAAACTTAACCAGTAACTTTAGCTTCCCAATTGCTTTACATCTTCACTCATAAAATCATTTTCAGTTGAAGTTGAAAGGGTTTTCTGTTTTGTTTGTTTGCAGTAAAAAATATTTGTAGGCAGATATTTTGAAAATTAAAAAATCTCATTTTCTAGAGTGAAATAGTTAATGGCAGTTGTGGTAGTGATCCTCATGGAAACCAGAAACGGTGGTGTTGCTAAGAATAACAAAGAAGCATAGCTAAGATTTGTCTTCTTTTTTTTTTTTTTGTGGGACCCTTGCCTGCGGCTGGGGATTGAACTGGCGCTGCGGAGGCTGCGGGCAGCCTCGCAGCCCAGCGCTCAACCACTACGCCACCAGGGGAGGCCCCTGTCTTATTTTTAAAAGCCAGCGGCCTTATTCTCTATTTTTGTCTCATTTTAGATCTCTTTATTATTTTTTTATAAAATACAAAATATAGTTGATTCCCACCAAAGACACATTTCAAACTAATAAAATTTTTATATTGCTTATTACTCCATAGTCACACTCCTGGATGTTCCCCAAAGTCAAACTTACTTGAATGGCATTCTGTCTTAGAAATACAGTTCTTGTAGTTGTCCAGTGTCGTTTCTTTGTCAACTGTGTCGTATTGTCACTTTTCATTTAAAATCAACTTTTTCACAACTACTTCTTAATGAACTTAATCAGATTAATTTCATTTAGTCACATCTGTTCCTGATTGCTTCCCCTTTTACACTCCATACAAATCATGAAATTAAGCTAATTATATACCATTATCAGCTGCAAAGAATAGGTTCTACAGCTTTGTACCTTCTCATTCCCGGCAGGAGATTAAGGCTTGTTTTTTCCTTAATGGGGAAAAGGAAGTAATGCAAATGGATTTCCTTACAGTTTTTGCCATTTTATTATTGTTTTTCACATTTTGAATTAATTCTAAAACTTAACATTTTACATTTTTGTTACTTGTAGTAATGTTAAAAAACACTTAGATGAAACTGTGATGCAGACTATGAAGTTTCGCATATCTAATATACGATTGCTTGAGAAAGTGTAAGATCCCCAGTTTTGAATTTCATATAATAAAGAAACCATTTTTTAATAGAAGTATGTCCCTTGCAGAATTTGTACATACTTAGATGAAAAATTTAGTACAAGTACTATAGACTTATATTAAAAATTAATCATTTATCTGAAATTCAGATTTAATTGCCATCTGGTATTTCAATTATCTAAATCTGACAACTGTTTATTTGGATAAGACTGACCATTGGGGGGCTTCTTGTGTTGGCACAGGTGATGATGAGCAGAGTGACTGGTTCTATGAAAAGGAGTCAGGTGGAGCTTGTGGCATCACAGGAGTCATACCCTGGTGGGAGAAGGAAGATCCTACTGACCTAGACAAAAATTTGCCGGATCCTGGCTTTGAAAGTATCCTAACTGATTCTTTCCCTCTTATGTCACATTCGGGCAGAAGAGGTCAGTGGCACCCCTGTCTGGTGGATATGTTGGGCTTGTGGTCAGTCTAGGCACATTCACCTAAAGGACACAGGCTAAAATGGAAGGGATCTAAAGACAGGATGCTGCAGAGACATGTGGCCACTAATGCAGCTACTGTGTTGATCAAGCTGTCATGTCACTAGAAAAGTTTGACTTGCTTTCTTGCTAGGCCCATCATGAAAATGTTAAAAAGATAGAAAGGTAAATTTAGAGAAAGCAAAAGTTCTTGGTAATATCCTCATATTGAAATACTGACTAGTTGTGTGTTGACTGCAGTAGAACCACAATCAGCAACATTTTAGATCTTGTCAACTTGAGTTTTTCACTTTTGCTGCTTCTTTTTAATGTTTTACCCCCTCAAACTTACTGTGCATCTGTATCGTTAGGAGCTTTCTTTATCCTCCAGGGATCACAGACTCCCCTAAACTGAGTACTTTGATTTTCCAGGTTTCCAAGCCAGACTCAGTCGCCTTCATGGAATGCCTTCCAAGAATATTAAAAAATCGGGAGGGACCCCCACTTCAATGGTAGGCATGCTTTTTTTGTTTAATTGTCATGTTTGGGAATGTATCCATTTGTATGGAATGAAAAGCCACATCCTCATCCTTTATTCGTATTCTAATGTTATACTTAAAAATAATCCATTTTTTTGTAGGCTACAAACTGGACCAGTGAGATTCCCCTATAAACCAAATCTTCTAATGCTAATAAATTAGTTACGTTTTGAACATCTGGGGAATGACATTCGAGGGAACCTGGCTCCTGTCCTCTTCCCCTGGAGAAATATCATTGAAGTGAGAGCCTCTTTGATGAAAAGATGGGGCTGTTTATGCTGGAGGACTGGGATTCTTCCTTTAGTCAGAGGTGAACTGGTTGGGAGGGCTTTCTAGGGATTTAGGTGGGCCCAGGGTGGATAGAAATTACTGTAAATTTTATATATTTTTCTCTTATGATTTTTTTTCACGTTGAATCCATTTATGTATCACTTGCTTTGTTGCCAAAATGCTAACAAAAGCTAGCAAATGAAAAATTTGCAAATCTTACATAAGTATTTCTCAATGTTTATATTGTGTCTGGTTAAGAATTCAATTTTACATATCTGCCTGTTGTAAATAAACATGATGCATTGAAATTTATGGTTCATTTTTAGAGAAGTCATATAACCAGCATTATTTAAAATACTTGCATTTTACTCAGGGTATGTTAACAAGGGCTAAGATGAATAGTAGGTGAGCCTGCTAATTTTCGCTAGTTTGTATTTTGTTCAGTTTGCTTTCTACTTAGATAACCTGCTCTGTATTGCAAATACATTGTATTTTATAGTTTGGTGTTCATTGTACTACAGAAATTTGTCCAGTTTATAGACTAGCCACAGTGATAACTGGTCTGTGCCAGTAGAATCCTCCACTATTAGCTTTCAAGTTTTTCGCTTTGTCTGCTACTTGAAACCATTCAAAATTATCATTTTGTCTCTGAGCTTATGTGAAAGCTGGTATTTCAACAAATATTGTATGACTGAATCGTACTGTCATGTTTAAGAGCGAGAGCTGCTTGCACACCCTTAGAGTGGCAGACCATGTGTGTCACTGTGAGTGTCAAACATCCTTGCAGGAGCTCGTTTCCCCCACACTGAGGGCACCATGCACCATTGCTAGCAATGGCTTAATTTAGACACTGTGCCAGTTCAGGTCATTTGACTTTTTCAATGAGGTTTTATTGAAATGATTAATATTTTTATTAAGTTCTAATAACTGATGAAAACTGTGATTGAATACATGTATTTTCCTATTATTGTATGGATTGATTGTTAATTCAGCACTTAAATGGCTAATTTAAATATGATTGGAAAAGAAACTTAAAGTTGACCTTTACCGAAAGTTATTATACTCTGAAAGATTTTAGCCAATGTATTAAGGAGACATATCTAACACCTTTTAGATTGCTTGTCTAAACTGGAGAGATGTAAAATGATAAAGTGCAACTTTGAGTCTCTTTACCTTTGCATAAAGTGGTATTTTAGAGGTACACTAATGTGGTGTTTGGTAATTGTAAGTAAGCTTTACTGTGTTATGTCCTTTGGAGTGAAAATTCATGATTTTTTTTTTCTGAATTACATAAATGCTTTTATTTTATTTTGTATAATGACTGTCTTTTAGATCTGAATAAGTCACTTTAAAACCTTGGCCTGTGAACTTTGCCTTACCAATCATGAATCTAGATGAATGCTATCTAGTTCTTGGTTCAGTTTTACCTATTTTTATTTTTGGTTCACTGCTTGCTTGAGCATAGCTGGGATTTGTAGCCCATTTTCTAGGCTTATTGCAATCTCACTGTGGTATTTTATAGAAGCTATTACAACTGATAGGCTAGCTTCATGGTATTGATGATACATGGCTTAACCATAGTAAAAGCCGCCTTTCCTCTCTCAATTGTAAAAAGGTGATTAAGTTTCACGTGATGGAGATATACTATATATGTGTATTTATCATGAAACTAGTGCATTAGGCCATAAACTGTTTTCCTGGTCTACACTTTTTTGTATTCAAAATTTTACTGAAGACAATGAGCACCTTCAGGTTTTCTTTCTTTCAATTCCAAATTGTCCATGTTTGGATTTTTAAGTACTGTAATCTTTTTTTTCAATAAAAGTATCTGACTTGGACAAGCAAGGTAAGAGTTCGAGTTTGTGCTCGTATTTTAAAATTGCTATGCTGAGTTTCTTTTGCTTTTTGTTTTTCATACTGTCTATATCATAGTATAACTAACTAGTTTTAAATATCATAACTCACAAACAGTCATCTTTGAACAGTACCCATGACGTCTAGTAAAAAGAAATAAAATTTAATTGTCTTAGACTTTCACACTGAAAGCCAGATTGTTTCTAAGAGATTAATTTTCAGAGTAAAATCAGACATGGCAGCCTCAATCATTAAGCAGAATGGTAACAAAGAGTTTCCTTTTCTTAATTAGATGAGTGATGGTTGCATAAATATAATGATTTTTGAAAGAAGTGATTGGATCTTTTACTGAAATATTAATGTAAACAATTTGGGGGTGAGGGAATTTTCAACAGCATTGTAGTCGATTCTTATTCATGGTATTTTCTGTAAAGTTACCATGAACTCTCACTTAGTGAATACTGGACCTCTGAGAAATACAGGGTTGGGTTCCTCTCAGCCTCTGGTCAGGACATTTTCATTAGTCAGTGGATACATATCCTTGTTTTATGTATTTTTGTGTTGAGAAGCACATTATTGAATGTATTTTGTTGATTCATTAACATTGAACTCATGGCCAACAGCATGCCTGACATAGCCAATTCCACAGTTTTCTTGTTGTTAGGAACATTAGACAGCACAGCAGCACTAAGCTTGGGGGCCATTTAAAAACAGTGAGTCACCCCAAAAAGCACAAAAAATGTAAAAAAAAAAAAAAAAAAAAAACAACACTCAATAAGCCACAGAAAGGGGCCTCCCCGGTGGTGCAGCGGTGGAGCGCTGGGTTGCGAGGCTGCCCGCGGCCTCTGTGGCGCTGGTTCAATCCCCGGCTGCTCCCCGGCCACCGGAGGAGGGTCCCACATGGTGCACAGACCTCTCCTGCCGCCCGCTGCTCCCCTCAGCAGTGTACTTTGGTCCTTCTGCCTGCTCTGCTCCCTGCTCTGGCTCTGGTGAATTCTCTCACCCTCCCGCGCTTCTGACTATACCCAGTGCATGTATAAACAAAACAAACAAACAAACAAACAAACAAATAAATAAATAAAACATGCCTCTATTTAAAAAAAATAAAATAAAAAAATAAGCCACAGAAAGGATACTTGTTTATAATATGAGAGCTGCAACAAGAAGGCAGTGTTGCCTCATTTGACCTCAGCTAGGGATATGCAGGTGACTCCAAGATCTTACAGCTCTGCTCATATTCATGAATGACTGAAAGCACTGGGAGCATTGGCTTGGGTTTAGAAATACATTTTAGCAAGTAGGCCAATATGCACCTATGAGACCTGGACTAGGAATAAAAAATGAAAGTATTTAATTTTGTAGAAGTAGAGGGATGCTGTAGACAGGCTTTGAAGCCAGACCTTCATGGATCTATCCTCTGGTTCTTTGTTTTATTGTAATGACATTTTGAACCTCATTTACTCTTTCTGTTAAACAGAGACAATAATTACTTTACAGAAGTATTGTCAGGATTTGGAGATTATGTGTGGATAATGGGTCTAGCACCATCGCCAGCACAGGGTGGATGTGAAGTCAATGATAGTTGCTGTTATTATATATATTAAACACAGTAGCTCATGACCAAGAGAACATTTGTATCTTGGGTCACAGTGCAGAATTGGAGACTTTAAAACTTTTCTGTTCATATTTTATACAAAATATGCCTTTATATTTAATATTTTAAAATGTTTTTAAAATGTTTTATTTGCAGCCATTTCTCTATCATTTATATTTGTGCCAGCCCTTGTCTTTAATACTGTCTGTAAAGAATAACTCCAAATCAAGTTTTGTTTGACAACTTCTGCATTAAATCTCAAGACTTAATTATAAAATGAAGAAGCTGTTCTAAGATTGCTCCCTACCCTCAACATACATGTCTTTGTAGAAAGACATGTGAAGTATAGTAAGTTTTTGTCTAGAGTTATCTTATTTTAATACATAATTCTTTGTCCAAGTACATGAGGGGTGAATGCATTCCTGAGACTTTAATGTTGAAAGGATTAACTATTGTTATCCTTTGATTAGAATAATGCTTTATTTTATTGTCACCCAGCTAAGTAGCATCTAACATGGTCCTCTTTCAGGAAATTTAAATAAATGATACTTCATTCCAAGGGATATCAGGGTTGTCAGTATCCAGGAGATTCATCCCAAATCTCCTGTATTTCCAAAATAAGTATTTTTTTTTTTTTTAAGATTTATTTTATTTATACAAGAACCAGGGTACCGGCCAGATGTGCAGGAGGGTGAGAGGATTCACCAGAGACAGAGCGGGGAGCAGAACAGGCAGAGTGACGAAATACACTGCTGAGGGCAGCAGCGGGAGAGACAGGAGAGGTCTGCTCGCCATGTGGGTTGCTCTGAGGCTGGCGGGGATCAAACCGGCACTGCAGAGGCTGCAGACAGCTTCACAGTGCTGCGCTCAACCGCCTGCGCCACCAGGGAGGCCCCAAAAAATGTATGTTAAATGAATTCACAATGAAAATCCTTAGAATAATGATTCAAATGATTTAGAATCAGTTTTGGGCTACAGTACTTAAAAAGAAAGTCTGATTAACCCGACTTAAGTGTAGCATATCAGTTAGCTAGATCTTACCCTAATTATTCTAATTAATCAGTGTTTTCTGTACATGAGTTTTTTCTTCTCTTTTTTTTTTTTTTTATAACTGATGGTCTTCAACAAGAGTTAAATTTACCAAAGTTAGCAGGAAGGAAGTGACTCCTCTTAAAACATATTACCTGAAATCCAATATAATTGCTACATAAGGAATCGTATGTGAGGGTTCTAATAAGGTTTATCTAAAAGTCAT